CCTGCCGCACGGGGGGCAAAGGGGGAGAGACCGATGGCCGAGGTGCAGCGAGGAGACACCTGCCCTGCTGCTGCCTGTGGTAAAGGGAGGGCTGCTGAGCCAGCACTAAAAGTACTTCGAGGTAGACAAGGAGAATGCTAGGTGAGGGGCTGGCAGGGAGTGAGCCAGTAAGCACCTTTGCCAGGTGGATTGAGGGAGGAGAGTCAGTGGGCTGACCCAGTGACTTCTGAGCTGGGCCGGGTGAGGAGAGTTTTTGTATGTAGGTAGTTACAGCTGGGTGAGTTTCAGCAGACAATGGCTGCAGGAAGAATGTGCCCCCCCCAGCCCCAGAGATTGCCTGCACAGCGTCCCCACAGGCTACTGGAGGCAGTTGGCTAGTTCCTGCTCTTGTTCTCTCCGCTCTGCTGCGTCTGGGCTGTGCTTTGCCAGCTAGGTGTATTTAATAGCCCTAGGGAAGGAGAGGTGAGAACTGGGCCACCAGCTGACATCGTCCAGAATTCAAGGCAGACAGGTGGCCCAGGGAGCCACTAGGTAAGGCTGCCTACTTGATCACTGCCTGGCAGTGCCCACGAGCCAAGCAGGGACACCTCCGTATTCCAGGCCACGGTCGCGCCGTTTCCGGGAACGCGGTGTGGAGCACACCTGCTGTTCCTGGCTTATGAGCTGCACGGGAAGCCGGGAGGTCTGGTGTTCTGAGCAGGGGGCTGATTAGCAGGATTTCAACCCCTTGTTCTGATTCCTGAGCTGCAGGAAAGAGCAGGTGTCTCCCTCCTCCGCCTGGCAGCCCCCCTCCCTGCGTCCGGCAGTGCTGTTTGCTCAGCCTTGTCCTGTTTGCCGAGGGGTGTGGCTGGATGTGTGGGGAAGGTGCAGTGTGTGAGCTGGCACTGCCAGGGTGAGTCATGCACACAGGGATACCATTGTTTCTGGGGGGATTTGAGGTTATCATCTCGGCATCAGGGTCACTAAAATCCTTTGCCTTAAAGTTCTGAGCCAGCACCACTGGCATTTCTGGCAGGAAAAGCAGCTCAGCCAGTTTGCTCCTGGGAGAGGCCAGTGGCTGGGACGCTTGTGCCACCTTTAACGAGGCCCTGGGAAATCTGGTTTAGGACCCAGCTATAGGTCGTCCCCAGCAGCAGCAGCAGCAGCAGCAGCAGGAGGAGGAGCCTGCTGGTATAGATCTCCCCTTGGCCCCATGTTAGACTGCGTTCTGAGCAGACGCTGGTAGGCTTCAATCTGCCATGGGTCTCGCTTGGTTCTATTTATAGGCCTGCGGAAACGCAGCCACCTCTGGGGCCCAACCCGTAGCTCAACAATGTCCATTGAGACAGGAACTGGAGAAGCGCAGGGGGCCTGCGGGAGTGGAATGGAAAGAGCCAAACTGGAATTTGGCTGCACAAGCAGGTTTACACCCTGGCGGGAGAGAAGGCTGCTAATAAACCCAAGTTAAGAAGAGAAGGGAGGGGCCTTGGAGGCTTGGCTCTTGCTGTGTAAACACTGTTCGGGTGTAAACGCTCTGAGCGCTCCGGATCAGTGTTGTCAACAAATCCAGCTGCGTAGTGGACTGGGAGTCAGGCCCCTGGGCTTCAGTTCCCAGCCCTGGAGCAGGAGGGGGAGTAGCTGTCTAAGCAGGCGACTGGCGTTTACTTCTGCTGGGGGGGTACCACTGTTATAGTGTGCGCCTGGCAGCACAGCACCTTGTCACATGGGGGGGAATACCCCCAGGATCGGCCCAGACTTGCCTTCAGGGCACATTTTATGTGTCACACATGCCCCAAGGTAACTCAGAGCTCATCCCGATCAGTGCAGGCTGCAGGCCCCTCGCCTCTGCCCCTGCTGCAGGAGCAATGAGCTCTCTCAGCCGGGCCCCTTCTTCGAAGGGCTCTCCAGACAAGGCTGGCGGGCCCAGGCCCCTGGCTGGCAAAGGGGCAGACACCCAGTCACACGGCAGCGTGGACTCCGTAGGGAGAACACCCTGCGTAGATCAGTTCCTGAATGTGGGGTTTCATCAGTGTCTCCCCGCATGGCCTTGCATCATTTGCGACTGGCTGGGCTTACAGTACGAGGCGGTATCGGTCTGGGGGAGCCCTCCTCCCCTCTTTTCTTGACCCGCCGAGGCCGGAGGCGGCGCAGTGGAGCTGTGTGCACCGGGGCGTGTGGATCTCGGGTACTGATCAGGCGCTATATGATCTCTGCCACATTTCTGCCCTCAGTGTCTCACTGGCAGCACCGTGACTGTCCCAGAAACACTGCTCTTTGTGTCCACCCTGGACGGGAGCCTTCACGCTGTGAGTAAGAAGACGGGTGACATCAAGTGGACGCTGAAGGATGGTGAGCGGTGACTCTGTCGGGTGTTTATTGAGGGTCAGTGTCTGGGGGGAGGCCCTATCCCAGAGACTTTCCTCCTGGCCGAGAAGGGCTGGAGACATTCCCTCCCCTCCCAGCATTGTTCTGAGCACCGGCCCTGGAGAATGACCCCCGCTGCCTGCCCCAGCCAGTCCCAGGGCTCTTGCTGTTCTCAGGGGAGTCCAGGCCCTGCTGGGCAGCCCCCCACAAGCAGCTCTGCCTGGCTGGGTCTGAAATGCAAATAGGTAACTGATCGGTGGTCGGACCCATGTGACTGCAAAGCCTGCTGAGAGTGCTGCCACGTGGTCCCTCTGGCCGGGCCCTGAGCTTGCGACTGACGTGTCTGGTTTCACTCTCTCTTTCAGATCCCATTCTTCAGGTGCCTGTTTACGTGGCAGAGTAAGTGTCAGCTCCCTGCCCCAGGTGCCCTGCCCGGCAAAGCTTAGCGCTTCCATCCTCCCTGGCCTCTGCAGTCCCTGGCTCAGGAGCCCTCTGGTGCTCCCCAGGGAGGCGCAGAAAGAGGAAATGGAGGCTCAGAGACTTCATTCACTCTTAGGCTCGGTCTACACTGTAGGGTGGTTTCCGGAAACGCTATGCAACTGGCGCTCCGCAGTTTATGTAGCTTTTTCCGATTGCTTCTCTGGAAGAGGCTTTTCCACCATTTGGCCCCGTGTAGACTGGGTCAAAGAGCGGAAAAGCCTCTTCTTTCGGAGGAGCCCTCATTTATCAGAGATGAGGCAGGCAGGGCTCCCCAAAAAAGCACGTTTGCTCTTCCGCAAAAAAAGCAGACGAGCAAACACCTTCCCTGTTTTTCTGGTATCCCGGAAAAGCCCCGCAATGTAGATGTACCCTTAGTTACTTTTCCTTTTTGTGTCTAACCACGCGCAGGGACGCACCACACCTGTATGAGACACGAGGGGAAATTGTGCCACGGTTTGAAACAGCAGGGGGAGTTCCTGGAGGTGACTGGAGTGACTCCCGGGGATTGGAGCAGAATGGGGCAGAGGTGGAGTGGCTGTGTAGGAACTGCGGTAGCGGACAGACCAGTAGTTGATCCGGCTTGGTATCCCATGCCTAACCACGCGCAGGGACGCACCACACCTGTATGAGACACGAGGGGAAATTGTGCCACGGTTTGAAACAGCAGGGGGAGTTCCTGGAGGTGACTGGAGTGACTCCCGGGGATTGGAGCAGAATGGGGCAGAGGTGGAGTGGCTGTGTAGGAACTGCGGTAGCGGACAGACCAGTAGTTGATCCGGCTTGGTATCCCATGCCAGGAGAGTCACGCCCCCTCGAGCCGCAGCCCTGGAGTGACCAGTCAGGCACTAGCCTGCGGAGCGGGATCCTTGCTCTAACCCCTGTGGGTGCCGGGCTTGGGCCCTGGCTGGCATGTCCCTCTCCTTCCTTGCAGGCCGGCGTTTCTCCCAGACCCCAATGATGGCAGCCTGTACGTCCTGGGAGGCAAAAACAAAGAAGGCCTGATGGTCAGTACGTGGGGGTGGGGTGGCTAGTGAGAACCCCTCCTCCTTCCTGGCATGCAAAGAGGCAGGAGGTGGCAGCTTTGCAGGAAGCGGGAGAGCCTCATTCTTCCCACTCACCCCGGCTCCTTTAGATGGGTCTGTGGGGAGACAGCAAGGCCCTGTGGGTTTGCTTTGGCTGCTCAGCCCCGCCCAGGGGTGTCTCTTTGCACTGCCCCATGCCCCAAGGCTCTTGCAAAGGCCGGGAGGTGGGGGAGGACCTGGAGGATGGGCTCATACAGGTAAAAGGCCCAGTGCACGAGGCTGCCTCCGGGCTCTTTGTCACTCGCAGGCTGCTCCGTTTGTTACAGAAACTCCCGTTCACCATCCCAGAGCTGGTCCAGTCCTCGCCGTGCCGCAGCTCCGATGGGGTCCTCTACACGGGTACGAACCAGCCTCCTCCGGCGGGAGAGATGGGGCTTTCTCTGTGCATAAGGCAGCCATTCCCGCGCCCCCTCCACGCTGTCCCCTGCAGCTGGGGCGTGGGAGGGAGAGGACCCTGGGGCAGGCAGCCAGTGCACGGGATTCCATCCGTGGGGTGCGGATCCGTGTGCAGACCTAGCCCGCTCCCGGTTGGAGCCACGCCACAGATGGGCAGGACCGGAGTCTGCGCAGGAACGTGCCGACCCCCCGGGAAGGGGGAGGGTGCTGGAGCGGGGCAGAGGTGATCCGTCTGGGAGTAAGTCTGGGGGCCAGCAGGAGTGACTGGAGATTGGCCGAGGGGGGGATGGGTTGATGTTGCCTAGCAGAGGGCCTAGGGACCCTGGGGAAAGTGGAGAACCTGGAGAGAAGAGCACCCGGGACATGGGAGGCTGAGGGGCATCTCGAACTTTCCAGGGAAGAAGCAGGACACATGGTTTGTCGTGGACCCCAAGTCAGGAGAGAAGCAGACGACGCTGTCGACAGAGGCCTGGGATGGTCTGTGCCCCTCGACGCCTCTCCTCTACATCGGCCGCACCCGTAAGCCCAGCCCCCTTTCTGCTGGCTGCAGGCGCAGAGCGGAGGGCCGAGGGGCCGCTCCCGGTGTCTGGACAGGCTGCCAGCCATACCTGCTGTGGGAGCAGATGCCCAGCTCTGCTTTCCCATTGGCAATGGGGAGAGGAGACTTTTGGTTACCCTGTGGAAAGGGACAATCCCTGTAGCCCTTCTAATGCTCCTTGACCTCCGTGCATGGCTCCTGGGGGAGGCATACCCTTCCCCTCTCCTCGCTTCTCCCCTCTCCCCTCCCCGCCTCTCCCTGCCTCCCCTCACTCCTCTCCCTTCTCCTCGCCCCTCTCCCTGCCTCCCCTCACTCCTCTCCCTTCTCCTCGCCCCTCCCTACTGCTCTCACCTCTCCCCTCCCCACCTCTCCTCTCTTCTCCTCCTCTCCTCACCCCTCTCCACTCCTCTCACCTTTCCCCTCCCCACCTCTCCTCTCTTCTCCTCTCCCTGCCTCCCCTCACTCCTCTCCCTTCTCCTCGCCCCTCCCTACTGCTCTCACCTCTCCCCTCCCCACCTCTCCTCTCTTCTCCTCCTCTCCTCGCCCCTCCCGGCTCCTGTCCCCTCTCCTGACTGTAGGAGTTATCTAGCAGAGGGAGGATTCCCTTCTGAGGTAGTTAGGCTGATCAACATCCCTTCCTGCTCCCCTGGCCCTTCCCTTTGGAAGGCCCCTTGTTCTGGTTTGAGCAGCTGAGCAGTGACCGTGGTTGCTGTTGTCTGACCCCCAGAATACGTCATCACCATGTACGACACCAAGTCCCGGGAGCTGCGCTGGAACGCCACCTACCACGACTACTCGGCCGAGCTCTACGATGAGGCGCACGACTACAGTGAGTCCCTGGGCAGTGCAGTGGGTGGCGGCTGTCTCGGCTTTCCAGGGGAGAATGACTCGGTGGCGATCAGCTCCCGACCCGCTTTGCCTGCACACGGAGCCCTGAGCAGCTCTGTCCCCGCGTGGCGGCTCTCCGTTCCCGGCCCCCCCACGGTGGGGGGGTGCAGGCCGGTGGCCGTGGGGGCAGCCTGCAGGACCAGAGCTTGACTGGAAGCGGCCGGTGGCACGTGTCTGTCACAAGCGCTGTGCCAGCTGCTCACTGCTAAAGGGCACCCGTGTCCTGGATGGTTCCCCCGTGAATCAGGGGAGCCTGGGTTTGGATGGAGGAGTCCTGCGGGATGAGGATGGGGGACGTTTGCGCCTCGCGGTGACCCAGTGACCCGTAGGCTCCGTGGACAGCATCCCCAGCGGAGGAGAAGGAAGGGCTGTGAACGGGGTGAGGGAGGATGACTCCCTCAGGAAATGCCGTGTCCCTAACTGCCTCGTGTCCCTGGCTAGAGATGGCTCACTATGCCTCCAGTGGGGATGGGCTGGTGGTGACCGTGGACAAGGAGAGCGGGGACGTCCTGTGGATGCAGAACTGCTGCTCCCCTGTGGTGGGGCTGTACACGTGGAACCAAGACAGTCTGCGCCGGGTCCCTCCCTGCCCTTCCACTCGCAGGACATCCGCCTCATCAAGTGGAACTACCAGGCCGTGAAGGACTTCTCTGGGACCAAGACCCAGCTGCTGTAGGTGGTTCAGGGGCCTGCCAGGCTGGGCTGGCGGGGCAGTGCTCGGGGGTGCCCCGTACCTGGGGACGGAGATGGAGTTAATGTGGGAGAGGACCAGGGTTCCCTGGGAATTTGCTGGGGGTGGAATCACAGCTAAGAGAGATCAGACGGTTTTCCTGGAGCTGGCTGTTTCCCAGAACCAGGGGTGTAGCTGGGGGTCCCCCCAGCCTATTTCACAGGGGGGCTGGCTGCATTCATGTGCCTCGCTGTGTCCTACATGATGGCGTGGGCTTGGGCTAACCTGTCTCTGCCCGCAGGCCGACGCTGTACGTGGGGAAGCACGCAGCCGGCTTCTACGCCCTGACCTCCTTGGTCCACGAGAGCGTGGCACTGGTGGTGAGTATCCCACCTCTCCTCCTGCCCCCGGGCCCTTGGCTGGCAAGGCAAGGCGCGGCGAGTGCCAACCTGCTCCGTCTGACTCTCCAGCCCCAGGGCATCACGCTGGCCAGGATCGACGGCCCCACCACGGACGACGTGACGGTGAGAGAGTCTGGCGAGTGCGAGATCACACCCAGCACCGACGTCAAGTACCCACAGGGCAGCTCCAGCCCCCTGCACAACGAGTGGCTTCTCATGGGAGAGGGGCCGGCCAGGGGCTCTTCAGCGGGGCAGAGTCACCGGCTTTGCACGCCCTTCCCGCAAAGCCCGGGCTGTGACCTGCACCCACCAGACCCCGCGGGGCCGGAACCGCTTCCCGCGCAGGCCTGGGGGGCAGAGTCTCGGCCGAGTGACTTTGTTGCTGCACCCAATTGGTGCGCGCAGACCCTGAGCCCGGCGCTAAGCCGGTGCCTGCGCTGTCCCCGTGGCGTGCGCGCAGCCCTGCGGTCGAGGGGCACCGCTGGGCCCCAGCATGTTGGAACGCTCGTGCCGTGTTGTGAAAGGGCTGCCGGGTCGCTGCCCGCGAGTGGGGCAGGCCCTGAGGCTGCGGACTTTCTAAAGAGGTCACTGCCGAAGGGGGTCTGCTGGGGGCCCCTCCCCCGTGGGTGAGGCTCTGCCCCCTGGGGGTCCCTGCTCGTCCCAGGGTGGGAGCCAGCCGGGTGTTGCTCTGATCCCCTTCCTGCGTGAGGCCCAGATGTGTCCCGCCCTGGCCGCCCCCCTCCCACTCGGTGCGGAGCTGGGAGTGGACTGAGCGGGACTCGGGTCTGTTGAGCTCTCTCCGCCCACAGGCCACCACGAGCTGCCTCCCGTGGTCCACACCACCATGCTGCGAGCCTTTCCGGAGACCCTGAGGAAGACTACGGAAGCCATCATCCCCACCAGCGCCCCGGGCAGGACTCTGTTCGATGACGTGAGTGGGGCGTCTGCCGGGGCCCGGGCCCAGCATGCGGGGGCACCCAGCGGGGCAGGGAGAGAGGTCACGTGTGCAAAGCAAGCGGGCGAGTCCCGGCGGGTGGGGTCTGCCCAGTGGCAAGGAATCGGAGGCCTGCTCCACCTGCATCCCTGCGTGGGCGGGGGGCGGTGGGGCACGGGGGGCAGAGCACGGGCTGCTGGGGATCCCCTGGGTGGAACCGGTCACCCTGGCTCTGAATTGCAGTTCCTGACTCCGAACGGCGTGGAGGATCCAGCCCGCCATGGGCGGCACCGTGGGGACCCGCCCCCGGCCGAGCAGACGGAAATCTACCCCGCGTCAGGCAGCTG